TGTGTAAACAGGGAGGTGAGTCTCACCTCCCCGGTGTAAATAAGTTGGTAATAGGGACTTTTAGATTTGCGTGGACTGATACGTGTGACATCTATTGAAGGCAGTGCATTACAAGGACGTCGATCGTAGCATAGACCTATTGTCTTCGTGCAAATCTAAAAGTCCCTAATGAATATGTACTAGTACTCCTTGAGTTTAATGGGCCATACAATCGGGGATTCATCAAGTATCCTGTTTACGTCTTCCCGCGTCGTCAACTTCGTAGAAAAGTTCAACAACTTTCTTCTGCTACTAACGTGACCCCACTCTTTCCCAATTAATACCCCCCCCCCAAAAAAAAAGGGGGGGGGGTTAAAACACTATACTACGGTGTAAGCTTCAAATCAGGTTGTAAAACCTTCGTCCTTCCCTGATACTATGTTGTTAATTTTCTCATTGGAGTGGCTCCATTTTTGCCCAGAGGCCTCAGTTATGTAGAATATTGTAAGCATGCGTGTCTACAGGTTTTCCAGACACCCCCTAAACGAGGATTTCTTCTGAAACAAACATACACCCTAAATGAGGATTTCGCGTGGTTTTCCCCCGAATTAATTCACACCCTAAACGGGTATTTCACGGGTGTTTCACAAAAGGGTACTCCTAATATAAACTTTTGTTTTAATCAGATGGGGTCGCTGGTACTACCTGTATACGGTGCGTCTCAGAAAAAACGAAACCGAAAATTATCGATGTTTTATCATAACTTAATCACAATTAAAATTAATAAATGACACATATTTGTAAAGTTTAGATTCTCCTCTTTCACGAAACGGAGTTAAGTCTTTTGTCAACTCTTGTTTGTTGCTACGGCAGGCAGCCAGTGAAAACGGATTCGTTTAATAAAATCATGGAAGTGCAAGCACTATTTTAAACAAATAGAACTTTGTTATTCCTTGCTCATTTTTCCTGATTGAGTTTGAGATTGATTATGAAAGGGCAGAAAATGAAATTTCTATATAGAAATGTGATTTTCTCTTTGAAATTCAGATACCGCCCGCCAAATGTCTTTGGTACCCTCTCTTCAAATTGTTCTAATCACTCATGCGTGAAATACGCATCATATGAGTTGCATCAAATGAATGAGGAGGATCTAAGCTTTACCAAAAATGTGTCAATTATTAATTATATTTGCGATTAAGATATGATACAACATCGATAATGCTCGGTTTCGTTTTTTTTCTGGGACGCACTGTATTGCAGGATATTGTAAGAGTCATAAATCGGGTTAATTTCTTGGATGTGGTTTACAGATCGGGGAACAAAGGTCAAGAAAAGGTATCTCCCTCTGATTGCCTACCTTGCCAATCTTGTTTACCCTGCCATGTATGTAGATATTTATTTTTAATCTTGAAATCGTCGCATGACGAAATGCATAAGGTAGGGGTGCATTATTTCCCCCCTTTACATATGAAAGAAAACAAAGACTTTTCCTATTTATATTTTGTAACAACCGTTACGGCTGAAATGTTAGTAGCAAAATAAATTTTAAAAAAGAGAAAGAAAATAGGAGAAGAAGAAAAAATCAGAATTTATGTTCAGCATGCTTTTTCAGGCCTCAATTAGCACTGAAAACCAATTGGAAACAAAAATATTTCGAGATGCGTTTTAAAGTTATAGCATTATTAAAAGGGTTTAAACTATCCCCCCTCACTCAGTGATATTTAGGGTACGCATATGAATGTTCCCTCCTTTTAAAAACACCCCCCCCCCCCCCTAAGTCCGGTGTGTAAAGTCAACACGGGCCGGATTTTTGTGTACTACGAGCCGGACTTTGGTGCGTGAAAAGTACCCCTTTACCGGGAACACGCATGGTTCGTTGTTGTTGATGGTTTTGTTGTTGTGATATTGGTCTGTTTTTGGTTGACATCCAGCCTGGCCTGATCTTGATAATAAAATCGTTTCTTAATTTGTTGTGTATACGAAAAACTGGTTGTATTTTCTTTGAATACCGGCAGATATATCTGCAACCAATTGGACGCGTGGGGCCGCGTTAAGAGGTTAAAAAACGTCCATTTCAAGAAAAAAGGGTAGTTTTTCAAAATCCTGCTGTACGCGTTTAGGGATGTATTTCTAGATCTCGACTAGCTCCGAAATGAAAGTTGGTTGGGAAGCCGGTTGTCTATAACTTTTGGTTACGTCAGCTTGCTAAAAACACATAAAGAAACCCCTATATTTCGAGTACCAGCATGTGAATTGCTTCAACGACCGGGGTTTACGACGATGACGACGACGAAAAGTAATTATTTTTTCAAAGAAAGGAATTATGATAGCTGTACATTAACCCTTTGTGTACAGGTTGATGTTTTTGCTTCTCTATTGAAATACATTTGTATATTGTGAATAGTTTTACATCAGAAGCGCAATTTGATTTATTTTACATGGTCAACAACTTAAATGGTCATCCCTATCGCACTTCAAAATGCTCACAAGGGGTTACATTATTGAAAGCTGAATGAAGGAATACAGTACAAATACAAGAAATAACATATTATTTCCCTTTCAGTATTGCTCAAAAGCAAATTCAAATCTCATTTCCGGACGCCTCCAAATTAGGGGTCAAACTTGCCGCAGTTTCGGTGACAACATAAGACTCGATCTACTCGCCTATAACGATAAGGCGATGAACCATGTATTAATCAATGCAAAATAATAGTGAATATGCGTACTCCATATAAGATGATTTTCATCAAGTCGATATAGCTAGTTTTTTTTTAGGTCTACAACTTCCGAAGCTTTAGATTTCGAGTCTTCAGAGAGCTGTTACTCCTCTGACAAACACTCAAATAGCATATTAAATTGAATTGAATTTATTTCCTTCTGCAACATACAAAATCAAAATACATTCCGGTGATACAACATATAAAATATAACAAATTGATACTATAATTTGCAACCTATGGCTTATAAGCTTTCTGTCGATACATAATAATATTCATCTATTTAAATTTTCACTTCCGACATGGTCTTTATTTCCGACGAAGGCGCAATTTTTGGCAACTGAAAAATCCTCTCTTCCATCTCCTTTCATAATATTTAGTCAGGCATATTTGGATAACAGATTAAATCAGTATAATGTCATAAGAGAAAAGGTGCGTTTTACCCTTTTTTTTCTGCAGGGGGAAACAGGTTCACTAGGACAAAAAGAGATAAGCCCCCAATTATTTATAAAATGAAAGGGCATCTCTTTTGCCGTGGTGGTGAAATCAAACAGACTTAAAGAACAAACAAAAATTAATATCTAAGGGCACACAAGATGACAATTTTATTTTATCCCAGGACGGATACTGACTCCATTGCGTAATGCTCCTCAGGGGGTAGTTGTCCTCAGGGGAAGGGGGAGAGGTAATTGTCCATGGGAGGATCTAACTCTCCGGGGGTAAATGTCCATGGGGGTAATTGCCCCGCTGGTAATTGTCCTAAAACCGTTAGGACTATTATGAAGGGGTATTTTTATAATAATAATAATAATAATATTAGATATTTATGTAGCGCACATAATATACACCATGCATGGTGCTCATGGCGCTCCAACTATTACCCCAGCTCGGATTTGTATCGGATTTTTGAAGGAGAAAATGAAGGGTGAGGTTGCACGGAAGAGCTCAACTCTGCTTCCCCTGGTTCCGCCTGTATTCCAATCAATCAATCATAATCCTTCCTGGTTTTTGTCTCGCCTGCAGATCAAAAGCGAGACATGGGCACGGCATTTCCGGTGGCATCAACATCAAAATCTTAACCCAAGGTTAAGTTTTTGAATTTTTAATATAATTTTGAAGTATACATACCTATTCCATATAACTTGAACATAAGGGTTATCAAGTATCACCACAACTATGCGTTGTCGCGTGCGCCTGTAATCCAGCTATAACAGTGGAGGTTACAAACTGATTCAGCTGAGGACGCAGGTTCGAAACTGAGTCACGTCTTTCGGATGGTGACGTTAAAAGTCGGTCCCCAGACGTAAATAATCATATCTGATTGATACACGTCTGTACAAACCCAAATACACACACTCACACACACCACTCATGTGAGAAGTCTGTAGGGGACAAAGTCAAGGTCAAATGTTATTCAGGTCTGCAAACTTGGACTTGGACAAGATTTTGAATTTTTAGCATAATTTTAAAAGTGTTTGTTCAAATTCCATAAAACTTGTACCCACGGGCTATCAAGTGCCACAGAGGCAAAGTCAAAGGTCATTTTAGGTCCGTAGACTTGGATTATGCTTTCAGAATTAACAAATCAATTTGTGTTATTTGTTCATATTTCATGAAATTATCAATCTTGATACAAATAATAGTAAATAATGCTTCTGATGATTCTTAGTCAATATTCACTTCAAAATGCTGATTATAATCAGAGGATTTAATTTGGGGGGGGGGCCTGCTAATGGGCCACCCTGCCTATAAAATATTATACAAGCATTGCTTTTTAATAGGTTCCTCACATTCTAATTAATCTATTATATGAATTGAGAATCATTGAGATGTGCTCATCTCAATTATGCTACAATTGTATTGTATAATTTTTTTTATTATCTATGTCTATATTTTGTGTATAACGTGGAACAATACAACTTCAAACTTCAACTTCAAAATAATGTCCTAACCTCCATTTTTCATCATATCCCTTGTTTTCTTTTTCTCCTTCCGATTGTCATATTTTATATCCTTTCTTTCTCATTGAGGTAGATTTACCTAAACTTCCTGACATCTCCTTAGCAGCATTGCTGATCCCTTTCAGCTATTAACATTATATGGATGTTTTTTTTTATAGAGCAGAAGATAATGGAAAATTCATAAAAGTCGTAAGATATCATCCCGGATACATAATGCTTAATCAACATGCATCACCCGATCTTGACCTGGTAGGTAAACATCCTGCGTGATAATCTTTTTTCAGGACCTCTCGAACTGATTTTTATTGGGGGACGGGGGCGGATATACTTCAGAATCTTTGCAAATAGGATTTGCAGGTATAGGCCTACTCCCCACGGTCATGATGACGTCATTTTGTTCAAGGTAGGCCTATAAGCGTAGATACCGCGGAGAATGTTTCACATTTGAGCGAGAGAGCTGGAGCAAGCTTCCAGAATCAAATTCCAGTTGATTAGAAAACAATTCCCGCAATGATTTTCCCGCGCTTCGGCTTGTTGGTGGCACTCGTGCTCCTATCCGCTTGGTGCGGTGACGCCCGTCTTGGCGGGCGAAGTGCTAGAAGCGGTGGCGGTGCTCCCGGTGCAGGTCGAGTTCGACGATGCTCGGGGGGCAACGCACCGATCAGGGATGCGCGCGACAAGCCCAACTTCGTTATATTCTTCGCAGACGACATGGGCTACGGCGATCTGGCATCTTACGGACACCCGACCCAGGAGAGGGGACCAATCGATGACGTCATGGTGGAGAACGGTATTAAATTCACACAGGGGTACGTCCCCGACACCGTGTGCACCCCTAGCCGTGTAGCGCTCTTAACAGGTATGTATCAATCCAAATCCAAATTCAAATTCAGTTAGAATGATTCATTGGAATTGAAATATAACTGAAACGACGACAAAACAAAAGGCAAATTATACCAAAACCCCCAAAAAACTTGCTAACTAAATAATTAATTTCCTGAAATAATGGTCTGCAGTCTGTCATCGATTCGTGTTTTAAAAAACATATTTCAGTCCCTTTGTGTCTTATCATCAATAAGTTGTAATATAAAGGATTAATACTTTGATGTAGGCTTACATTGTATGTACATTTCATTTCAAGCATGGCTGTTTGTCGTCTCATTTCAAAATTGTATTTTACCGTCCACCAATCGCTTTGATATAGTTAGATTTACATTGATTCATTGAAATTTACTTCGAATTCATGTATTGTTAGTTAAATATAAAAGAGTTGTGTATTCGAGTAGATGTAATCAAAGCGTAACTGAATTGATTTTATTAATTTAAAGGTAATACAAAGTTTTGGGAAATTTTGAAATTGGCCGAATAAAGATTCTTTACAATTTTGAAATATTTGGATGCCCCTGTGGATGTATTATAAGCACTCGAAAATTTAGCCCCTAAAACACTTCTGCTTTCGAGAAAAATTGAATATCAATTGAACGGCCATACAATGGTAGCAGCAGCGACCATGAAAAACTCAGAATATGTAGTTGTGATATATAAATTCCAAACGGGAATAGCCAATCGGTCGATTTTAGTCAAGAAACATTGTTTTGTAGTTAAATTAAGATATTGAGAAGGGGCTATACAACGAAAAGAGTTTATTATTTACAATTTCATCACTTTAGACTCGATTTCAACCGCGACAACGATCTCTAAATATTATAGGATCGCAAATGCTTCCATTATATTCATTCAAACCAAATTCATGACCCCATACCAAAACTTTGTAATACCTTTAAGTGCTTTAAGGTAAATGGACGGATATGGACGGGATGGAAATTTAATTGATTTAATTCGGATAAATTGGAGGGAAAATGTGTGAAGTGGAAAAACACTTTGATTTGATTTCGATTTATTTTCTATCATCACATAATTCACATTAGTACTGTACAAAACATTTCTATAGACCTAAAGTTTTTCAAAGTTTTCTTTATACATCTATAAATGAAAGACAAACATTTTGTATAGTAAGCAGGACCAGATAATGGCACGCGTGCTCGTCGGGCCTGACCCTTCATTGTAAAACAAAATATTTTGATAAATGAAATTCTGCAAAACATGTGGTCCAGTGGATACGTCTCCGGACTTTGAACCACGAAGTACGGGGTTCAAATCCATGTCGCATGCATCACTAATATCCTTTAGCAAGACATTAATCTACACTTGCCACACTCTGTACCCATAAATGGGTACCTGGCAGGAATAGATTCCTTGAAATGCCAGAGCGCTGTATTCCTTTCTAAAGCCAGGGTAATACTAACGGAGCGTCAGGAGTGGTCATATGCCAGACACGAGCGCTATACAAGACGGGCCAAAAATTATATTATTATTATTACCATGTGCATTTGTTGCTAAAAGTACTTATCGATGTACAATAATCCTAAACAAGAAACTGACAGCTTCCTGGTGATGACATAATTCTACTTGTATTCAAATTAGTTCATAACGTAGCCCCACCCTCACTTTGCTCACGGATCCTTCCTAAATCCCACAAATACCTGTTACGTAATATCGATTGCCAAATTCAACTGCCACGGCCACATACAAATTGGCCCGAATTCACAAAGGAGGTTTGTCGACAAACCTTGGTTTTCGTACGTCATATGACGCGTTTTACGCGTTTTTTACAAACCTGGTTTGTAAAGAACAAAAGGAGGTTTGGCGAAACAAAAGAAGGTTTGAGCTCAAACCTTGCTTTGTGAATTCGGGCCATTACCTCAGAAAGAGCCCTCTCTATTCAGCCTCAAAGCTTTTCAATAACCTACCGGCAAACATCCGATTAGAAATTAGCCTGGTAGCATTCGCACGTTTTTATATCCCTCTCTTAAATAATACACCCCTCCATTGTTTCTGTTATCCAAGTAATTTTTAATTCATATGTTTGTTTTCCTCTTATTATGTTGTTATCATAATTTTTGTGATTTTTTTGTTTTTATATACATTTTGTATTCGTTTACTTGTTGAGTTCTTTCATTGTTCACACTGCCTTGCTGAAAAGCAGCTATGTTATTGGTTTGAGGGACCTGACCTTTACAAACTAAGCTTTTCTTAGGTCTCCTCGTCTTTCTTCTTTTTTCTCTCACTTAAATGCATCATATGAACTTTTTTCCTTATAAGTGTTCCTTTTATATACACTACATGTTATAAATTTGTTAAATTACATTCATGATGGAAGAAAGACAAATAAACCTGAACTTGAACTTGAACTAGCAGGCGTTTTAACCGTGATTAAATACATAAAATACAAATACAAATACAAAAACTACTTACAGGTCGGTATCCGGTTCGATCTGGAGTTTTCAGTGGCACTGGTGGATCCCGGGTGTTCCTCCCATGGACTAGGTCCGGTCTTCCATCCACTGAACTCACCATCGCAGAAGCGCTCAAGGAGGAGGGCTACACTACAGGCATGGCTGGCAAGTGGCATCTAGGTAAGACGCTCTCTATATCTCCCGGGGTTGTACGGCGCGGTTGTAGGAAACTTGCGGATATCATAATATTGACCAGTTCGGAAGAACATGGACCCTACTACAGATGGACTAATAATGAGATTCTTTCTTTGATCACATCATGACCACCGCCACCTGAAAATGTGTATGTTGATTAGGACATTCATTTGACGCGACAATGTTGATTATGTAATCACGCATCATCACAGACAAAGGAACCTTTTACATTTCTTTAGATTCTTTTCACTGGGCCAGGGCCCAGAGGGTAGTTTTCAGGAAAAGTATCGTGATTAAGACCAGTTAGAGGAGCAGTGAACCCCAAAATATGGCAATTTGTGTGATTTTAGATTGATTATTAAAGAAGTGGACACTGGTGGACATACATCTGGACCTGCCAAACTTTGAAACAAACATATTCTTTACTGTCCTATTACCTTCTATTCCTTGGAAATGGATAGGATTAGTTTTAAAAAGAAGTTTAAAATCATTGTGTTATAGCCAAATTTACAGGTTTCTCTTGTAAACTACTTTTAATTTTCTGTTAAAAACTTCATATACGTTAATATTCATATGTACGCCACAACTGCACATGCATTTCCTTGATTTTAAGCGATTCAGTTTCTTTTGCGCAGGGATTTTGTAGATTCTTCAAGTCACAGTTCTGTCTTTTTATGGCTGACTGGCGGCGGTCGTGATGAGATCAAAGCTTGGAAGTATGCTCGGAATGTCATTATGATACTTTTGACAGAGTCAGGTGCATGAATATATTATGGTACCGTTCAGTGTCCATTTGTAGTAGGGTCCATGGGAAGAAGCACTTGTTCAAAACAATCCCCAAATATTCGAAAATAAGTTTACCTTTTTAAACATGGAGAGGTCCCACCCTTGGAATTTTAGAAGAACCACTGCCAAAGTGAAGAGCTGCTTCATGAGTACCTCATGTTGCCCTCTCTAAAATGATACTTCCTGAATTAATTAGAAAGTACCATCTGTGCAAACAAAGATTAATGATCAAGGAGGCATTTTAGTCAGAGTTCCTATTAACAATAATGAATGCAAATATATGACATAATAGATCACTTTCGTAATGTCATCTAATGTAATGCAAAAGTCTTTGTTAAGTGCCTCGTTATAAAATATTCCATACACCTGTTACGAATAAAAATTGCAAACATTTGGGTCCTCGAAAACTAAAATACCAACATAACAGAATATCCCTCGTTGTTACTGTCTCTTCGTTATGTAATAGAAAGGGGATCGAATGACTGAATGAAAGAATAGAAAGCGGGGAAAAGAGAGGGAAGTTATAGGGGCAAGACAAGAGAATGACAATTCCCCTCCCATACCTCACTAGATGACCTTGTTCTCTCATGTTTCGCCAAGTGCCCCTCAATAGAGTACCGAAGCTGTGACATCATAAAAATCTTTTTTTTAGAATTTCTCAAATTTTTCTTCATTTTCCGAAAGAGCATCATAATGGTTAGGAACCAGAGCAAATAATACTGAGTTCCTATGGGGAGTATATTTATTCAGATGGTCATATCTCAGCCAATACTTAACATATTTAATTGGTTTTCAACATTTTGGACATTATTTTTGATGCTTTTTCGAAAAATGAAGGGAAAAAATGAGAAATTCTAAAAATAGATTTTTGATGACGTCACACTTCACCACTCTATGGCTGAAAACCTAAGCTACGCCCTTGTTTTAAGTTAATTGTTTGAACAAGAAGCACGTGAATTCATCCAACATGTCAATATCTGCCATTCTACAAAGTAGAAAGCCCCCCCCCCTCCCCCCATTTTTTATGTACATGGCTTTAAGCACATGTCATTTTCTTCGAAATAATTATCACATGTTAATATTTGTTAAGACTTAAGACTTTATTCTGGAGTCAAACCTGTACAGCCGCATGCAAGTTGGCAAATATTGAGATGTTCAAATAGTTATTCATTCAAATCAAAATTAAATATTGAAAGCGAAAACCTTCGACCTAGTAAGATAAAATCTTGTCTATACCACGAATCGATTGATGTCAAATAAAGTGAGATATGTCCGGGTACTTGGTATTTATTTATTTTGCTAAATCTACTTTTCTTTTCTCCTTCTTTAAAAAAAAAAATCCATAATGATTTTTCATGTACTTCCTCATCCACGAGTTTATCTTTCTTCTTCTTCGTCTACCTCTTCTTCTATTTCTTTTTATTTTCTTCTCTTTCCCTTCTCTCGCCCTCCTCCCTCCCATCTTCTCTCTCTCTCACTCTCTCTCACTCTCTCTCTCTCTCTCTCTCCCTACCACTCTCCCTCTCTCCCTTCCTCCTTTCTCTCCCAGCGCGCGCGCTCTTTAACTTTCTCTCTCTCTCTCTCTCTCTCTATATATATATATATACTTCCCCTCTTTTTTCTCTCTCTCTTTCTCTTTCTCTCTTTACAGCGAATCCATGATAACACTGCCTTTCCTTTATTCTCTTATTGTAGGGCTGAATTCAGAAACCCGTGACGACGGGGTCCATCTTCCGATGCACCACGGTTTCGACTTCGTAGGCCACATCCTCCCGTTTACCAACAGTATGGCATGTGATGATACAGGGGTACGATATACATATACCTTTCAGCAATAGACCATTTTCGCAATGTATTCAATTCTAATGCATAAATCTTTGTCAAGTGCCTCGTTACAAATTACTTCATTCACCCGTTATGAACATTTTCAATTGTATTTCAATAGTAAGAATGCGAATGGCATACGTTACGTGGTGTTAGGTAGGATAAGCTATAATCATTTGTCCTACCTAGCAACATTTGATATGAATGCCGCGAATGTCTTTATAATATTATTATGCAAGTTAATAGCTACTCGAAATTGATGAAATTTATGTCATTTTTCAAATACCCTTCTACAGCGCTTCCAAGATTTAATCATTAAATTTTGTCCTACCTAGCAACAAGTAATATGAATGCCGCGAATGCCTTTATAATATTATTATGCATTGTTAATAGCTACTCGAAATTGATGAAATTTATGTCGTTTTCAAATACCCTTCTACACTACAGCGCTTCGTAGATTTCCCTGACGTCACCAAATGTTTCCTGTACAAGCGAGATCAGATAGTCGCTCAGCCATTCAACCATACCTACCTCACGCAGACGTTTGTCAACGACGCTGTCTCATTCATCGAAGACAACGCCCATGATCCCTTCTTCTTCTACTTCCCCTTCTCGCACCCCACGTACCTCTATACGCCTCGCCTCGATTCGCTGGAAAGTCCCAACGCGGTAAGTTGACTCCCACCACCCTGCCCCTTCTAAAAATCGTAATTCACTTGAAGCTATGGTGCCCTGAGCCACCCCCCCCCCCCGTTTCACCCCACAAAATTACCTGGTTTGCATTAAGAATGCATTTATTACATTACAAAGAATCATTTTCATTTATTTGAAGCATAAAAAGCATTAACAGAAGAAAAATACATTCCCACCCCTATTCTTGAAAATAATTTAATTTAAGCGAGAAACATGCAGAAAAAATGAATTATAAAACCCAAGCCCCGCTTTCTCAAATCCCCCCTCGAAAAATATAAATCAATGATTAACTCAATGTTTTAAACATATTTTTTTCTTCAATTCTTCCCATATATCAGGCGAATACGGCGACAACATTAATGAGATGAGTTGGGCAGTAGGCGAGGTGATAGATGCCCTAGAAGCTAAGGGGCTTTCTCAGAACACCCTGGTCTTGTTTCTCGCCGACCACGGGCCCCAGCCCGAGTACTGCGCTCATGGGGGCGATCCTAGCATTTTCAAAGGTATGTGTAGTACCCGGATCATCCTGCGATCCGATTTTCGAAGAAATTGAAATTATATTAGCTATGGAAATTTATTTTAAAAACGCCATTGTCCCGATTTAGGTTCTGAATGATGATAAAAAAACTAACAAGTAGAATTTTTTAGTGCATTGAACTCTACTAGTCAGAATAAAAACTGAATCGGCTTCAAATCGTTGACAATTGGCAGTACTGGTCTGACGTCACTACGATTCTGAGCCGATTCAGCTTTTCCTTCTCCAAAGAAGCTTGAAACCCTTAAACTTTAGATTCTGTGAAACGTAATGACTATTCAAACCCTCGATCAATAAGATTTTAAGTTTGAATATCTATGCTATTGTAAATTCTTTCAAATTCGGATCGCAGTCAGATCGTAAAGTGTTTGGTGGGCTTCAGGGCTTATCACATCTTCTCTACATTAATAGTATTACCGGGCGTCTATTTCTGGGGGAGGGTTATATACTCGACGTTACTAAAGAGGAGGTGGGCACATTTTAAAGCCGATAACTGTCTTTAAATAAACATATAACAATATAGTATTTGTCTGTGCTCATTCTTTAAACGGCAAAAAAAGCTGATAACCTCCTTTTTATATTATTTTTGTTACATCTGGTAAACCAATGGGAAAACAAAGAAATACACAACCCCCCCCCCTCAACAAATAATAATAGTAGGCCTTTAACCTTAGAAAATAATGTCCGATCGCCTCTATATACGCCTACTGGCATCTATATAAGTTATTATGTTAGAGGAATAGTCTCCATTGTGAAGTAAACGAAAATGTCCCGCATTCCGGATAAGGAACGGAGATAATTCACATAATGCCCCATCATTTCAAAAATATTTTCATTTTGTTTTTAGGATACAAGACCAATACATGGGAGGGAGGCATACGCGTTCCCTTCGTCGCTTACTGGCCCGGGCAGATAACGCCTCGTGAATCGGACGCGCTCGTCAGTACTCTCGACATCATGAGAACCGTTGTGGACCTCGCTAACGGTACGCTCCCCGACGATACTGCCTACGACGGCGAAGTAATCACCGACGTCCTGTTGAAAAACGCCCCGTCGCCGCACGACGTCCTGTACCACTACTGCAAGGACCGGCTCATGGCGGTTCGATCCGGTCCATACAAGGTTCATTACTTCACTCACCGAGTCCAGACTCAGGATTATTTCGCTGGGGAATGCCAAGACGGCGGACTGCCGTTGGCACACTACTTCGACTGCTACCACTGCTACGATTCGTGCGTCACCGAACAAGATCCACCGCTCATCTACAACGTCGAGCATGACCCCATTGAGGCGTACCCGCTGAACACAACACTGGATTCTTCACTCGCTGAGTTCATGGTGGATCTGCAGGAGAAGGTGACGGCTCACATAGCATCGGTGACTGTAGCGGTGCCTTTGTTGGATGACAAAGACCCAACAAAGTCCATCACTCCTTGCTGCGACCCTGACACTAACTGCGTATGTAACTACGGACCTGTCGATGGGCCATACAACTAAATAGCGGAAGCGTGAGAAGAAAGCCGTCTAAAGAAGGAAGGAGATATTATAGAGGGGGAGATGAAGAGAGGGGAGAGAGGGGAAAGAGAGAGAGAGACAGACAGAGAGAGACAGAGAGACAGAGCAAAATAGAGGGAGGATGGGAGGAAAGAGGGAATGAGTCTTCTGCCATTTTTTCATAAATATAAATGACAGGAGTGTTTTTAAACAAATAAAAAGCAAATTGAATAGATCAAATGGCGCTTGGTAGCTCGCTTCCTTTGCTCGCTCGTATTATATAGTTATGTGCTACATCAATATAGCAAAGGTTAATTGTCTGAAATGTGTAATTTTCAAGGAAATACTAATTTTTTTGTTTTCCTTTTATCAAGGTGTTCACATGATAATTCCTTTTCCTTCTGGAATATGTGTCATTGTATTTTGCAACCTCTTATTTCCTCCCTTATACACCGCTGATAGTATAAACATGGTGTATTTTTATTAAAATTCGGTGTTATTTTTGTACAGGCATCTTTTTATTAGTAGCAGGTTGTTAGTTGTTTCAGCTATGGTTCATATAGTGCAATAGTCACAAGCTTTCTGTATGTTCTGTGATATTTACATTTTCTAACAGTACTTGAACTGTTTTCTCTCTATAAAAAAAAATAGTATATATTTTCGTGATTATTTGATTAAACATCTCTTCAAATATATTCAAATATATCTTAAGTGAGTATTGTTTCTTATGTTAAACATGTTAAGTTCTAAACGTATTTTGGTTCCATTATAATAATGACTGAAATTAACGTTCACCTTGAGATCCAGCGACATGTACAAAGAGCATTTTCTACTAAAGCAAAGTGGAAAATTCCGAACGTAGATGGATCCAGAAGTGGAAACGTCCCTCTCCTTTCCCCTCCCATACTACCCCACACGCACACACGCGCGCACACACAAAGCTCTTGGGGGCTGAAGTTTTATTTCACTCGCGTGAGGAGGGGGAGGGGGGGGGGCGTCAGCGGGCGGGAATTCCGAAATCATCTGGAAAAGGTCGGGATAAAATTTGCCACGCCCTTTTCCGACAATCCTCGATCTGCTACGTATAAAGAATGAACTTCAAGGATTTGGTGATCGTGCATGAGTGTGTGTGTGAGAGGGGGGTAGTGAGCACTAATTTTTTTTTTTGCTCCCAAAAAATGTGAAAATCGCGCCGGTCGATAATTGGTTAGTGGGGGCCAAGGGGGGGGGGGAGGGTTAGTGAGCACTGTTTTTTTTGTTTTTTTGCTCCCAAAAATGTGAAAATCGCGCCGGCCGATAATTCGCTCAGTTGGGGGGGGGGGGGGGGGGGGGGGGGGGGGCGGGGGGGGGGGGGGATTATTGAGCAATATTTTTTGGCCGTCGGAAATGTGAAATATCGCACCCCCCCCCCCCCCTCTTGAGCGCAAGGGGGGGGGGGCATCTCTCAAAAAAAGTCCATCTCCCCTGGATCCGCCACTGTATGAGAGCAAGAAGATATAAGAATAGACTAGCAAAGAAAGTGAAGAGGAAACAAGAGAGAGAGAGGGAGATGTCACTTTACAATGTAAGAACGTGTGGCAAGACAGGGCAGGAGACAGCCATACCTAGCAATGTCACGAGGTTCGGATAGGGACAATTATGGCGAATACTGCTTTGTTTGCCAATCACAAAACAAAAGAATATACGCCACGTTGTGCCCGACTGGAATTTAAGTTCGCTAAACTCTGTGTATAGATGGCTCAGATAAACATTAGTTATGAAGAAAGCAAGAGAGATTGAGTGAGAGAGAGAGAGAGAGAGAGAGAGAGGTGAACCCTTTCCGACTTAGCCCCTCACTTATAGAGAGAAGGCCAAATAACGATATTGTATTCTATGACGCAGATAAGAGTTGCTGACTCGGCTAAAATATACATCCATATTATGTCCAAAACAATATTTACCATAGCCTAAAGAAACAAACAAGGACACCGCAGTTTATAATGAAGTCCTTTATAAATTTTATTAACAAACCAAATGTAAGGTCATAAGCATTAAAACACAATATTGCTAGGAGCTGACGCCTCTTGCCCTATAATTTGCAAACGAATTTTGACACTTTAATACAGTTAAACGTTATATCTGGACATAACAAGTATACAAGAAAAAATATTCAAATATTACAAAAAGACCAACATAGTTCTCGAATGGCGGTTGCCGCCCGAATATTGGTTCAAATATATCTAGAAGTCTCCCGCCCCCAATGCCCATTCACCTCACCTCCAATGTGTAGAATAACCACTACCGTAAAGTGATGGTTGGGGGCGGTATCGTAAGCTCCTGTAGAAAAAACTAACCTTACTTCAAATCTATACAATACCGGCATGTTAATGTCACAGGCCTTCTGACATTATTCATTATTTAAGATTGCAGTTTTGAGAGGCGCCGTCGATTCTTCGGCCAACTCCCACATGCATGCCGGGTACGTACAATTGAGGGTAGCGGAGGCATGCGCCCTCCCCGGCGCCCTCTCTATGATGTCTATTTCAAAGTCTTGGACTCGACATTCTTCTTCTTCTTCCTCTTTTAGTAATCTTCAAAGGGCTATGCAGCCTATCACGAAGATGAACTAAAGATTGCAAGCGGTGTGAGGATGACAAAATGATGAGGTTGAATGGAACAAGGGCGTCCTTGCGTTGAATTTATCACGAAATAGTATATAGATTCCAGGGCCCCGCCTTAGAGAGAGATGCGATTGATACGAACCATTGCAACTTGAAATTATAATCGCAACTCCTATCTCTTAAGTAGGCCAAGTTGCGATTGATAATCTTAAGTTGCGATTGATTCGAAGCATTTAATCGCAACTCTTTATAAGACAGGACCCTGGTCAGCATGGAACGTTTCTCACGTCCCTCACAAATCTCGGGTCATGGCGACCTCTTCATCGTACTTCCTCCTTCCCTGGTCGTCACCATGCAGACGACCTTCGACCTCTGGTGTTTCAAGCTCGACGTCGCTGGCTTCACCCTCCTGCACTCGATGTTGTAGAGCGAGTCTTTTCTTGTATCGTAAAATACTGGACGAGATCATCCTGGATCCTTGTCTCTGAACATCTGAGAAAGTGTTGAACAATGTAGACACAGCAGCGAGGCAGACAAAGAGGTAGGTGAACAGAACGACCTAGAAGGAAATCAAACAGGATTTATCATTATTGATTTACCAATAGAAGCCATTTCTCCCGATGTGTTCATCGGGAGAAAAATAGAAGGGATCTATCGAAAGCGATTTTCTTTCTTTCAAAAAGGACAACCTTAAAGACCCAATCCGATAAAAAAATAAAACTTGATATTAATGGAAAACTAACTGAACGAATGTAGAATACAAATATAAAGGAATAAAAAGTATTTTCCCTTTCATTAATGCACAAAAGCAAATTAACCTCATTTTCTGCACCCCTCCAAATTACGGGTCAACAGGGGTCAAATATGCCGAAGTTGCAGTGAAGACATAACAATTGTGGACCCCATCGGTTCACCTATATATATATATATATATATATATATATATATATATATATATATATATATATCTGAGGCGATGAGCCGTGCTAAATAATTAATGCAAAGTCATTGTGAATATGCGTATACTCCACATATTAAGATGATAGCAAGTTTTTAGGTCGACAACTTCCGATGTTCAAAGCTTTGGACTTTAATTTTTTAGAGAGCTGACCCTAAAATGGCATATAATTGATATTATTGTAATCTATGGCTTATAAGCTTTCTGTTGATATATATGGTCATCCATTCAGGCGCGTACGCAGGATTTTTTCAAGGGGGGGGGGGGGTTTAACATATAAATCGGGCCGAAAATTTCGCGACGACTCAGCCAGCCGCTGAATAAGCGGGGGGGGGGGGGGGGGGGGTAAGAGGACACTTTTCTTTCTTTTTTTTGGTCCCAAAAAAAATCGCAACGACTCGGTCGACCACTGAATAAGCGGGGGGGGGGGGGGGGGAGGGGTAAGAGGACATTTTTTTAAATTTTTTTTTTAGGTCTCGAAATTTGAAAATTGATATTTTGCTCCGTTGGGGGGGGGGGGGTAAGGTCGGTTTTTTATAGGTCAGCCATGGGAAAAAAAATCCAAAGGGGGGGGGGGTTTGGGGGGTATGGGGGGAGGTTTACACACAAACAAATACCAAAGGGGGGGTTAACCCCCCCCCCCCCCCCCCCCCTGTGTACGCGCCTGCATCCATTTCATTTTCAGTTCGGACAAAACTTACCATTGATGGTAACTTTGCCATCGATAATAACTACCATGGAAACCTTGATTTTGATTGGCTGTTGAGCCCTGTTACCATGGTTGTTGCCATTGATGGCAAAGTTACCATCAATGGCAAGTTTTATGCAACGGGGCCATGGTATTTATAACGGTGCTCATTAGCCATTTCAGGACTCTTATTGCTGTGAAATAATACAAAAGTCATGAAGTAAACCTGACAACTTTACACGACTTCCCTCATTTTCTGATTTCTTTTAATAGACAAATTTGTTCTGGAACGCTTGCATTTTTCCTACATCCCTTTTCTTTTACAACTTATTTCCTGATTGGATCTACCTCTGAAGTACTATTGACATATTCACAAATCCTTTTTCTTTTCGTTTTACAATTTTTTTTATTGTTTGCTTCGGGGGGGGGGGGGAGGTTTTTGCCGCTAATTTGTTTGCACATTCAAGCAGACAACCCCTTCCCTACCCAAGACATGATGTACACGACGCCCTGCTATACTGGTTACATAGTGTATGTAGCCGTAAACATTTTTTCCGCGAGAACATTTTTCACTATCTGTACTAATTTATCAATCGAGTGATCCCTCAACTAGCTATGGCCCAGACTTACTCTAATCACGTACAGCAACAAAACAGGAACATGTAAAGTCTTTGGCGTCAGGTCCCCAAACCCAATGGTTGTCGTCGTCTCAACTGTAAAGTAAAAGCTGTCGCTGAAGGTCCAGTCTGACAGCACGAATAAATAGAGGAGGCTGGTCGGGATGATCAGCAGCACGACTATAAGATAGAACAACGTGAATTTCGTGAGGAACACTCCGACTTTTGAACAGCATTTCAGGCAGGTATCCAGACTGGCAGTCATCCTGGTGATGCACGTAGCGTGGAGGATTTGACCGACGGAGTGAATGATACCTCCAGTGATGGCGATGCCTATAACAGCGTAGTAGAACATACAAAAGGCCTCACCGGATCCTGTGCGTGGAGCAATAAACCCGTACCCTGCATGGAAAAGACAAGAAGGGCATAATAATGAGGCCAAAGAGGAGGGGGCAGTAGCCCGCCCCTCCTCTTTTGTTATTTTAATTATAAACTGTTATATGAAAGAAAAAATGTACAATCATGTATAATTTGATATTTTTTATGTCCAGGTGTTAAATGGGTCCCCGGTAGGATGCGACCGTCATTGTTGGTCAAACAGTTTTGAGCGTCATGTAACGCCTGGCTGGAATGCTCCCCAGGGAGTGGGGATTATGCACACAGTGTGTGCGGGCAAGCACTGAATCCAATGACCGGGGTAATAGTATATTTTGTAAAGCGCTTAGAGACAATTGTAATAAGCGCTATATAAAAATTAAATATTATTATTATTATTATTATTAATTCATGAAGTGTCTTGTTTTAAACATTCTGTTTTATATAACTTATCATGATAATTTCTTGTAATGCAAATTCATCCGGAAGGAAATAATAATATTATTTAATTACAAAAATACGCTCTCCAGTGGAGCCCAGCGTAATTTAATGATCACGCCATCTTCGGCTGGCAGCAAGTATAAGTAGGGGGTGGTCGCATATAACGTCCTAACGTAATGAACTGATCGCAACTAATATTCAACCACTTCATCCTTTCCTTCCTAATGAATTCTTTAGAATAACAAGCCGAATAACAATACAGAAAATAACTACTAACAATTTACTGACATTGTTAATTACACAACACAACGCCACTAGGCTATCGTCGATCCAACAGTAAAAGTATTAAGAGAGGACCAGTAACTACGCCCTCTCACATTATACTTACTTACTTGGCGGAAATCATCGAATGACGATGGAAACGCCATTAATCGCAACAACAACAACAACATTGCGTTGGCGTGGTGGAGATCAAAATTTAAACAGGCCAGATTCTGGACTATATAGGGCCGTAGCTGTAGGCCTTCATTTCAATTTTGTTAAATTTAAATGTTATTTTACAATATTATTTTGTTATATTAGTTTTGTTATTAAAATATGTCGTCTCCCGTCGCAGAGAAGTGGGAATCCGCATTTTATATTATTATCATAGGCATCACTTCCGTTGGAGTTGAATCTATAGTGGTTGAATTTTGTCTTCCTTTCCTTTTTAAGGATTCTTTTTTGAGAATTCTTTTTTCCCCATATTTGTTTTAATCGAATTACGCAATTTCCTGTACATTATGGAAAACTGCATCTTATTGTTAGTTAGTTATTTTCCAAGTCATGTTATACATTTATTTGTTGTATGTATCGGGAGCGCCAGGAGGGTCAAATCTGACTGACATGAGCACTATACAAGAACCCATTATTATTATTTATTATGTTTATTTTTTGTTTATGATTATCAACCATGCGCTGCAAATGTAAACATGTTATATCGTTTTATTTTATGTTTGGAAATGAAAATAAATGAAAAAAATGAAATGAAGAACTCTTTGAGAGTGCTTTCCACGACAATAGTTAACAAATAAATAATTCATAACCTTACTAAGTTTTGTAAGTACTCGAAGTACTATATATATATATATATATATATATATATATATATATATTATATATATATATTATATATTATATAATTTTACTTAAGGCGTCATTGGACGGACATTTGGAATGAAAAAGTGAGTCATTAAGTAGACATTATTAGCAAGACAATACTTTTCAGACAAGTTTATGGTGAGGGTTTAGGGTTAGGATTAGGGTAAGGGTTTTATGATGACCGGTTAATGTACCGTGTAGGGTAATGGTTATTATATCTAGATATATCAGCATGTGTTTCCACCAAAAAAGCGAAGCGTTTGCTAATACGACTCTCCGAAACGTGATTACGGTATTGCATAACCCAATGTGTCGAACTAATACCGTCATTCGTATGCCGCTCTGCCTTTTGACATTTTTTTTTTTTTTTTTGCCCCGGAAATTTGAAAATTGCGCCGGTCGATATTTCCCTCAACACCCCCCCCCCCCCCCTTGAGCAATTTTTTAAATTTTATTTCTGGTCACGGGGGGAGGGGCAAGGCCCGCTCCCACCCCTCCTGGATCTGCGCCTGATTAAAACCCTAACCATACGAATGTGAACAACAACAAAAAAACTAAAAACAGAGCATTTTCATTATTAAACGATAAACCTTTTTGCCCCATTTTGATTGTGTACAGCCTAAGCCTCAAAGTAATTAATGTATTTTTTTTATTTATTTTTTTATTCATTCATAGCAACCAAGGGTTGGATTGATAATAATACATACATTTTCAACATAATTATGAACATTATTAAATTCAGTACAATGAAATTGATAAATTATGAATAGAAATACATGTAGATCATTAATACAAAAAACATTACAAATCATTCAGGTATATTACAAATAAATCATTACAAGAAAAAGGGGGAAACAACATAAACTTGAATAGACAAGAACAGGGAGCAAGAGAGGGAAAAAGAAAGAAAGTGAAGAAGTGAAAAAAATGCAATGATCAATCAAGTAAACTATACATCCAAATATAAAAATATATAATATAATTATAAAAAAGTCAACGTATGGGTATAAACTGAAGAAATTTTTTTTTGCATGTACTGAATAATTATTCCAATTGATCCTCTGAAGCAAGGGTAATATATATATATATATAATTAAAAACCAGCTGCATATGTCGGGGTACAAGTTCAAAAGAATATTGAATGGTTGAAAATGTATATTGCACTAATTACCTGCTTATTGTAAATTATACGCACACCAAGGGATAAAACTATTCTTAAATCGGTTTGTTTTACACCTGGGCAGACTCACTTGTTTACTTTTCCTAAGGTTATATCTTGTCTCTCGTTTTGGTGGGAGAAGGTCATTTAGTTTGTGTTCAGGTTTCTGTATTTGGTTGAATAATTGCAAGCACATATTATTTCTACGATCAGCTAGGGGATCAATGTTCAGTACATTTAAAGCATCAGTATAAGACAGGTTGGGGGTGATTATTCTCAGGGCACGTTTTTGTATTGATTCCAATAAATTAGATTGCTCTTTGGTTAGGCCCCGTGAAAGACTTGACATGCATATTCTGGAATTCTGGAATGTAGGAATAGGAAACTCTTATAGGCCGCGTGATGTGGTGGCAAAAGTGAGCGCCTAGTTGACACCATGAGGTTAGTGCCTGACTATGCACATGTACAAGGACGTCATTTTGCCTGACATATAGGACTACGTAAGTAATTAACGCGGTAGCTTCAAACGTCATGTGGCAGTGACTTCGAGCAAGATATAAATCCAAAATGAACAATGAAAACATTCTTTTAAAGCGTGTGCGCTAAGTTTCTTCGTACCGTTGATTGATTGATTGATTTTTATTCGACAAGCTTCCAACATACAACAATATACAATAATAACAGATCAAAAATAAGTCAGCTTGAACAGGATAACCCACGAAAGCTCGAGAGCTATTTCCAGTGGGGTCCCCTACATACATGTACAAAATGAATAAGTTAAAATAGTAATATTTACAGACAGAAAATAAAAATAAAAGAATTACTTATTAAAGATAATAATAATAACAACATTTTAAACTGATGATAGATATGATAAAAGAAGAAGGAGATGAAGAAAAGAGGAGGAGGAAGAAGAGGAAAACAATGATGAATTTCTAGAATTTCTAAAACGTACAAAAACATAAGTATATACAAAATGAAAGAGTATGAACCGGCAAAAGAATACAAATTTCAATCATATAGCATGTTATTCACTTATCTCTCTGACTCTCAAGTATTATTCCTTTAATTTCCTCTTAAAATGAGCAAAGTTTTCTATTTCCTTTACACCATTGGGAAGGGAATTACAATGTTTTATGGCATTGTAAATTTGTAACAAAACGAATTTCCAATACTACCTACTATTTCTGGTAAGTTAAAGTTGAATCGGCTATTTCTTGTATTATAATCATGTACGTCAGTAACAAGATCGAATTTGGATCGAATATAATGATTCGACCTAGTATGATATATTTTATGCACGTGATGCAATACGAGTTGCTTTGATCTTTGGTCGACTTCAAGAAAACCAGCTTTAGAAAGTTCGTTGTAGCCAACATGAGTTCTTGGACCAGAACAGTTGATAAATCTCACCATTTTGTTCTGTATAATCTTCAACTTCTTTTGATCTGACTTGTTATGTTACTATACCATGCAGGCCGTTATCATAGTCAAATAAACGTTGAATAAGAACAAAACAGATATCTGTACAACAATTTCAGACGAGAATTTGCTTTTTTTTACAACTGATTCTACTAAAGATGAAAATGAAATTGCGCAAGCCAACTCAAGTCTAAATACTTCACAGATTCTTTTCTCTTGCTTACTTGATTATTGTGTGTCACTTTGAATTCAAATGACTTTTAAGAACTACTTTTAGAATAAAACAAAATGCTTTCTGTTTTTCCCAAGAAGAAAACTTAATATCAGTCATCCAATCGACCAGGGGCGTACGCAGGGGGGGGGGGGTGTTTTGGGGGTTCAAACCCCCCCCCTTTGGTATTTTCATGTATGTAAACCCCCTAAAAAAACCTAAAAAACCCCCCCCCCCCCCTTTGGCTTTTTTTTTTTTTTTTTTATTTAAAAAAAAAAAAAAAAAAAAAAAAAATTATACCCACGGCTAACCTAAATAAGGTGGCCTTACCCCCCCCCCATACGTAAAAAAATGTCAAATTTTGAAATTTTGAGACCAAAAAAAAAAAAAAAGTGTCCGCTTACCCCCAGATCAAGGAGCACCATACCAACAAAACGCCCTTGGGAAGTTTCTGTCCTCAAATAATTAGTCAAATGAATTAGACATGTTTCAGTCCAATAATCATGTCGAAAACCAGATTGAAATTCATAAATTATATCATTTTCTTTGAAGTATCTTTCAATTTGAACACAGACCGATTTTTCTAGAATCTTTGATGCTACGCTTAAAACACTAATAGGTCTATAGTTGCTAACATCAGTTTTATCTTTCTTT